GGGGGGGAGTGAGCAAGCGGCTGCGTGGTGCTTAGTTGCCGACTGAGATTAAACCATGACAAATATATAATTTTATAGTATATTATGGTAATAAGGCTATTTATAAAAGAACACTTGTTGTAAATGGTTGATGGTATGTTTAAGTGTGATCTTATTAGAGTCACAAATTAAATTTCTGATATAAATGTTTTTGTTTTGTTACAGATTTGAATAGAAACTCTGTTTTGAAAGACCTGAGGTTGGTGAATGCAAAACTGGGATCACTAGAATTAGGCAAGTAACTGCTAAACATGGGTAAGCTCTGACACTTTTAACTGTAAGTTCTGGCCCAGCTTCTTAGAGGAATCTGAGAAACTGAAATATGCATATTGAACTAAAATCTTCAGCTTTCACTTCTGTCACTCTATTTAACACCATTGTGAAACTTACTGGAGTTAAGAGCAAGATCTGATCTAAAGGTATACAGAAAAGTGAAAACAGGTTTCTTGTATGTGGACCAGTATTTTACACAGGCAGCAAAAATTTGATTCATTCCGTGCATACATTTACTAATATCAAGTGATAAATTTTGTTGTCTAGGTTTCTAAGAAAAGAAGGGGCTTTATATTTGCAGAAAAAGATAGCTAGACAAGCCTTACTGTTTTTCAATGTCATGTTTACTTGCGCTCCACACCTTTGAAAGTTGCCTTGTAAGCTTTAGCAGCAATATGAAGATGATGTGTTATAAGTAGTATCAACTCTCTCTCAAAATAGAGCTGCCAAGTATTTAAATTTTGTCTTCAGCAATGTAGTCAACATCCTGAAAATGTATGTTCAATTTCAAAACAGTTTGTGTAAATGAGATTGAGATTAATTAATGACAAACATAAACTCAGCTTCTCTTCCTAAATCTGCACAATTTAATCTACTCCCACTTTTGCTGGCCATCAAACCATGTATTTTGGTGTAGGAATAGATTCCTTTTTGCATTTCCTGAAGAGAAAACTTGTTTGATTAATACCTTTTAAAAATTATTTAGGAAATGGAGATGATGATGAGTATGCTGATGACTTCAACAGGTAAGAGAAGGATGATATTGCAGTAGCATAATATTTTATGCATTATAAGCATATCCACTGGCATATTTGAATTATTTTATAGTGTTTTAGCTAGTCACTATTGCTGGCGCCTGTCAGTATCTCTGAACTCCTTTAAACTTCGCTTTGCTATTTTAACTCATAGTTACAAATTTAAAAAAACAGATCCTTTTTGTGTAGGGGGTAATGAGTTCCTTAAAAACCTGGTGCTAACTTTAAGGTGGTAAGTTGTTGCTTTTTTTGTGGAAGGTGTGTGGGTGTTTTTTTTTTTTTTCCCCGAACCATGCACTTAGCAATGTTTTAACACTTTAATTAATGCTATTAGACAATGAATACGGTGTATGCTGAAATATTCAACTAAAAAATAAAGCATCATGAGTAGTCAGTAATAAATATTTAACAGCCTCATCCTTACAATGTGAAGGTATTGGTGTTGTAAATTGCAGGATTGAGGCCTAAGTATTTATCAGTATTTATCATGGCTTCATCTTGGTAGAAAGCCTTTAGTTATTAAGGGTTTTTAAGTAACTTCATATTTAACATGCTAGGAAGTGAAATCCAAATCAAATGTCAGGTATAAAGTGAATGTAATACCTGGATGTTCGAAAAAAGTCTTATTTCTACATTTATGGTTTTCCTTCTCTTTAGTACTAGTCATCGCTCGGAAAAAAGTGATATCAGTATTGGTGAAGAAATAGATGAAATTTCTGTGGAAACAGAAGAGTCGAATGCCAGCGATAAAGTATGATTCTTTAAAATTTGTTCTTCTTGACATTCTTCTGATCTTGTCTTGACTTTTTTTTAACCTTCTGTGAAGGAATGTGCCATTATCATAGGTTCCTAGGATACATGTTAAAGTTGTATTATTTGTTATGTTCTGTATTTTTACACCTAGTATTCCTGCCAAGTTAGATACTATACTGATTAAAAAACAAAACAAAAGCCCCACAGCAATTGCTCAGTAGCACAATTCACTGTCTGTTTCTAGGCATGTAAAATGTATTTGAGCCTGGTTTAGTATCCAGCATAGGGATGTCTTATCCTTATATCTCAAGATCTGTCTGAGCACCTCCTAAAGGAGTTGAAATCTGACTGAAAGAGCTTGAGGCCAAAAGGATGGGATGCTATATGAAGGACTACAAGAAGTAATACTTACTGTTTCTATGATTTCTGAGTTTGTAATTTCATTTATTTTCTAGCTTGAAGGCATCACACAAGACCTTACCATTTCTCAGTTAAGTGATGTTGCAGATTATCTAGAAGACGTGGCATAGAATTGGACAGCAAAAATGTTTCATTGTGCTGGACTAGAAGACTGCTGTGGACTGTTAATTTCAGACAATCACTTTTTGCTGGAATGTCCACTCCCTATTTGTGCCTTGTATTTCAAAAAGACTGTTGGTGGAGAAGGCTTTTAAATATTCTTAACAAGAACTAAATGAAATAGTGCGTTCCCATTTGAGTCTGATATCAGAATTATTTTCTTCATTTGGTTCAGCCAAACCTTTTACAGGAGGAGGTGGATTTTCCAAGCAGAATGTCCATTGCTGGCAGTGGACATAATTAAAAACCAATCGATAAGAGAACATCTGCAGAGAGGCATGTGGCTTTATAATGAACTTGCACTGTTATTGTAACAGTCTGAATTTTTTTTTTAAAGATAACCAAAGCAAGAACCTTCAGAGGTAGTGGTTCAACTCAGTCTTCTTTTAACGCAATTTTGTCAAGTCAGCATGTAGTACATATTTATGGTAACTCTAGCCACAATACCTAATTGCTCCAGACTTACTTGAAACTGCTGTTTTTCAGACTCTTCTGAAAGTTGGACTTTTTTTTTTAAAGGCATATCAAGTTGAGAGTATCTAAACTCTCAAATCTAAATTTAGCTAAATTTAGCACTAGTCTTAACTCCGAATATTCTTGTTTAAATGTTTGTCAGACCATTGATGTTAAGACCTAAGCTGTTTTTATATGTGATAATTTCATCTATGTTACCTGTTGTTAAATCACAAAAAGTAATTTTGTAAGGATCCACAAATCATTAACTAAATCTTACTGGGTTTTGTTAAGTTTTTAATGGTGTGGTAATGGTTTGTGGAGCTTTTATTATCGAGGGCTCTTCATGTGCTGTAAGCTCACTTTCATTCTTGATAATCCTTGAGATGTAAAAATGAGCGCCGAAAAGTGAAACCACTAACCTTCTGTTTTTCAGAGTCTGACTGCTGTACAGAATTAAATCCAAATATTTTAAAATACCATATCGAAGACATTATGGACACTAAGTTCTGGCTAAGAGCAAATTCTTGTATTTTCATTATACTCTTGCAAAACAGGGTCAGTAACAGAAACATGGACAGTTCTTTAACGATACATGGCGCTGCTATAATATATAGGTCACGGACATTTGTAAGACTGAAACAAGACTTCAAAATGTGCACTTTCTGAACATTGTGAACACATTTGGAAAATATACATGTAAGTGAATATAAATAACTTTTTTTTTAGGCTTTGTAATTTTTTTCAGGAACACTGTTGGCCTCTCATCAATGGTCACCACAGTGGAAGTAGCATGCTAAACTAAAGCCATTGGTTAAGCATATAGAGCTGCTACTAGCATTGGATGCTGACTTAAATCTTTTTTTGCACTGGGCCAGCAGGCATGGAGCAGTGCTGGGAAGTTAGGCTTGTACAGTACATAAATGATTTGAGAGGAGAGAGGAAAAGTGTGCCTTTTATTTATGCGCACCCCAAAATAGCCAGCAAAAAAGCATCAGGATATTTAGTCATGGTGTTAACTTCTAACTTTGTGCCATATTGTAGCAGCTGAACACAGAGAAGAATTTTTTTTCACCCCAAAAAATCAATGTGCCATAAACTTCAAATAGCAACAATGTTGTAACATATGATACCTGTGTAAAAATTCCTTTAAGTATGGGGGAACCTGTGCCTCAAGATACTATGTATGAAAAGTTTGTTTTGGGCTTTTTTCTTTTTTCTTTTTTTTTTTGAAGAGCAACAGCGTGTCTGAAGGAAATAAAATTCCACTCGAACACCTGGGAACAACTGATTTCTGGCATTCATTTTTAAGGTGTATGGAATAATGTAGAGACAGTGTTGTTTGCTTTTTTACATGTCTTGGGAAAACATGATGTTCCGTTACCTGTTAGTTGTAGGATACGTGGCAATTTGTCATACCAAAAGCAGCAAACACTTTATTAAATGATTTCTAATTTTATTTGAAGATGTGGCCTTTTAAATAACTAATTTGATATTTTAAGTGTTAACATGACTCTTGTTAACAGCACAGTGTTGTTCTCTTACCTTGGGGGTTACTTGGAGACCTTGCACTTTGGCTCTAATTTAAGGAAATGCCAAAAAGTGATAAGTTTCCATGCTGTTCTGCCTGTGGGCTTTTACGGAATTGTATATAATAATTCAAACTGCAAAATAAAGCTGTTGTGCTGGCTAAATTGTTTTTTTGAGACTTCTTGAATCAAAAATCTTAACATTTAGGAAATTCAGGATGCTTTGTGGGTTTTGGGGAGGGTTCTTGAAAAATGTTTTTTTTCAGAGTTAGACCAGTCTGCAATTGAGAATGTGCGTGTGCTCAGGTTTCTTCGAAGCCCAAAGGATCTTGCAATTCCTGATGGTGAAGCTTAAATTAGTCTTGATTAAGACCAGACTGAATAGGGTTACTGGGTATCAGTCTGAGTTGTCAGATGGTTTATGATTCAACAAAGGAAAAAAAAAAAATCCAATCTCAACTGGCAAAATTTTGTCTTGTTTACCACTGCTAGTCTGAGTTACTTAAACATGACTGACAAGCTAAGCTCTCTTGAATGCTTGCTTTGCTGTACATTTCAAACCATATTGTTTGGTATTTTACATTAGGCTTCTCCCTAAAGGACCTAATGCAGTTGAATACCCAACGTCATCTGTCTGTTAGAATTAACGAGAGCCCTGTCTTAAAGATGGGAATGTTCCTGTCCAAGTGTTCTTCTGTGCTGGTTCTGTCTTTTCACAGACATCTCTCTGAGCAGAGAAGGACGTGTCTGAGAAGGGGCACTTACGACTGGTCTGTGCAGTTCTGTACCAGCTAGGTCTGGTTAGAAACATGCTTTTTTGTTAAACGCTCAGACTCTGTAATTTGTTTAACAAATCTTGTGATTTCCAGAAGCAAAAAAATTAAGAACTAAGGTATGGCTGACAGTTCCATACCATTAATTACAGCTGTGGTAATGAGGATGGATTATAAAAACTACCTGGACACTCACAAGTCTATGGGGCCGGATGGGATCCACCCGAGAGTGCTGAGGGAGCTGGCGGAGGTGCTCGCCAAGTCGCTCTCCATCATTTATCAGCAGTCCTGGTTAACGGGGGAGGTCCCAGATGACTGGAGGCTTGCCAATGTGACGCCCATCTACAAGAAGGGCCGGAAGGAGGATCCGGGGAACTACAGGCCTGTCAGCCTGA